CGATGATGTATTAAAAATTGTTTTGTTTTTTTCAATTTATTTATTTTTATTTTTTTTATTTTTTTATTTTTATTTTTTTTTATTTTTATTTTTATTTTTATTTTTCAATTTGATTAGATTTGATATGTGTGCAAATGTTTAGATCTGGTAAGATAATATAGGAAAATAGGAATTTTGATTTTTTATAAAATAATTACTAAAAGAAAATATATATAAATATATAATATTTTAAAATATTACTTTTTTCTATTTTATCCAAATAAAATTTGGGATAATAATAAAAAAAATAAAAAAAAAAACAATTAATTTTTTTCTATTATATGTGGTAATTTTATTTATTTAAATAGTAATAAATATATTTAAATACTTTATTATTAATAATAAATAATGGTAATTTAAAATTTTAGCTATTAATAGTAACAAAAACTTTATGTGTGGTAATATCAATTTTTTTTTATAAAAAATATTTACAAAATAGTTAATTTTTTTTTTTAAAAAAGAAAAAGAATAATATTAGATATAGTTGTATTATTTAAATTTAAATAAAACTACTTTATTTATTGTTAAAAAAAATAAAATAAAAAAAATAAAAAGTTGAAATACTCTGTTTGATCAAAAATAATTATAATTTCTAAATCATTTTTTATTGTTTAATTATAGATAAATAGATAAAGGTGTGCGAAATTAAAAGATTTGTGTTTTTTTTTTTTTCATATTATAATAAAATATGCCTCCGTCATTTGAAAACCAATCAAAACTGATAACTCTTTTTTCAACTAAAATAAATTTACAATTTTTTTTTTTTAGTTGAAAATTTTTTTTTTATTTTTTTATTTTTTTATTTTTTTTATTTTTTCAAAAACCATTAACAGCATACCGTCATGTGATACTATTCAACTATATGGGACACCTTATATATTACATCATTAATTGTTTCTTTGATTCTTTCGAAAAAAACACCTTATATTACCCAAATTATTAATTTTTTTAATATTTTTTTTTAATTTTTAATTTTTTTTATTTTTTATTTTTTTTATTTTTTTTTTTTAAATTATTTTTTAATTTTCATAAGATAATTTGAAATTACTTTTTTTTATTGCTTTTATATTTTGTTGTAATAATTTTTAAATTTCGTAAAAAATTAATAAGCAATAACAAATATTTTATTTTTGATTTATTTTTTATTTTGTATCTTTTTTTATACTCATAAAATTATATATTATTAAAATTAACACATAGGATAAAAATGTTTATAAATATATTTTCATTTTTGTTTGGTGTGTTCTCAACAATAATATGTGCGATTTATTTGTTTGTTCGATTATTAGAAACATTAGATACAAAAACAGAGAAGGCATATATTGATATGTTAAAAGAAGTAGAGGAAGAAAAGAAATTAATGAAGTTAGATACATCAAGATATAGCACAGAGAAAAGAGGTAAAATTTATATAAAATTACCAGATTCAACTACAAATATCCCAGAAAAGCATTATTGCGTTTTAAAGAATAATATGTTATTTTTATTTAATCGTCCTGATGTAAGTAGTTCATTTAGGAGTTGTCTAAATAATATAATCATTTAATTCATTAATTTACTAATTAGTTTAAATGATTAAAAAGGATGTATCAGCAGTTAATGTAATTTGTTTTGATGGATGTTCAATTTCAATTGTTAGAAACAAAGTTGGTTCATCAAAATATAATAAAAAGAATTGTGTTAGTGTTATGCAGCCAGAAAGAGATCTATTATATCATTCAAAGATATTGCATTTCTATTTTGATAATGGAAAAGATTTAGAAACTTGGTTTTGGTACATTAAGGAGGCATCATCGCTAACTGTTAGAAAATCATCATTAGAGGATCAAGAAGAGAAAACATGTAAGAAGTTTTTTGAGGAGTTACCTGTTCGTTTGAATATTCCACCACAATGTAGAGTAGGCAGTATACCGGAACCAGTCCAATCGACCATCGGATTAAATGGTAGCAATGGGGTCACAAGCGCTGGCGCTGTATCAAATAACTCAATGGGTTCAGTTGCAAGCAATAGTAATGGATCAGGCAGCAGTTCAATTGGTGAAAGTTTATCATCATTTGCACAAAAGAAATTAAAATCAAAATCAATTTCTAGTACTGAAGAGTCTGTTTTACGTGATAGATCATCAAAATCATCTTCAACCAACTCAGCATTTTCGAACGAAATGATTGATAATCATATTAACACAATTATTGACGATATTAATGATGGTAGTAATGGCAATAGTGGCTATGTTAAAAAAGGTGGCTCCATCCATTTATCTCAAGGATTAGCAAATAATATTCAAACAGGTATACCTTCACATATCATTACACCACCATCAAAGTATGATTGGTTTAATGTTGCTTTGGCCCGTGTATTTTTTAATTTCTATGATTCAGAAACTTTATTAGGTTTTGCTGCAGAGAAAATTACCAAAAAAATCAACAAATTAAAAAAACCTTCAATATTAAAATCAATTACATTACAAAATTTAAATTTTGGGCCAAATATACCAGTATTAAATGATGCAAAACTATTATATTTAACACCACAGGGCGAGTTTGTAAGTAAAGTTATTATTGTTTATAAATTTATTTTTCATATATTAACTGTCATTTGTTTTTGGTTATTATATAGAGTGCAGATATAGCAATAACATACCATGGTGGATTTACATTAACAATTAAAATCGAAGTAATGATTAGTTTCCGTAATCATTCAGTTACTATACCATTTGTAATTTCAGTGTTGGTAAAATCATTATCAGGTAGATTAAATGTTCAATGTTTACCAACACCAACTAAAAGATTTTGGATAGGTTTTTACGAAGAACCAGAGTGCGAACTTTCAATTGATACATCAATTGGTCAATCTAAAACTGGCTACTTTACAAATATGCCTAAATTAGCTAAAATCATTGTAAATAAATTAAAAGCTGAACTATTTGAAATGATGGTATTACCAAATATGGACGATTTCCCATTACCACATCCAAAAAGCTCAAAACATAAAAACCAAAGTATTAATCCACAAACCCAAAATACAACACCAAACCCAACACCACAATTTGCAACCCAAACTGTTGTTCAATAGTTAATACAAAAATAAGACAATATAAAATAAAAATTATATAAACTTTTTTTTTTTTTTAAATATATTTAAATAAAACCAATGCTTTTTTATTTGGGGAGTTTTTTAAAGATGTTTAAAGACTATTGAAAATATAGCAAAATAAAATACCACCAAAAAACACAGAGGATAAAGTTATAAAAGAACCTATTTCTGTTTTTGACATTGCTGAAATTGAACCTGATGTGCATCCATCTGCAAACCTATTTGATTTTTTTAAAAAAAAAAAAAAAATTAATATATTTAAAATAATTAAAAATTAAAAATTGAATTACCTTGCCCCGAATATAATTAAAAAACCTCCTATTAAATTTACAACAATAGTACCGACATTAGTAGTGGGATAATTTTTTGGTGGTGGATTAAATAATGATGAAGCAAAACTGCCCAATAAAGCACCGAAATCGAATAATATTTGATAGGTTTTTGGCGATTTTAAAAAGGTTTTAAAATAATTTTCCAAAGGGGTATATTTTTTTAAAAAAAATGCTCCTATTGATACATATGCACTGCTAGCACCAATATCTACACCACTTATTAAATATGAAGGTATTTGCATTAATCCCATTATTGTTCCAGAAACAATAGGTGACCAAATTTGATTTGTTAATGAACCAAATATTGTAGTTTTATTCGAACTTTCAATTTGGGATGGGTACCATTGTTCTAAAAAATAAAGAGCAATTATATTTAAGATTACAAAAGGAATGGTAATTGTTTGCATCGATACATTGAAATATTGGAAAATAGTTGAAAATGATTGTTTTTGTGCTGGAAATTTTTTTTGAACATAAGGGTCACAATATCCATAGACCACCCCACCAACAATCCCACCAATTATTGTAAATATGGAACTATAGAATATTGGAACTTGAGGCAATGCAATGCCTGGACAAGCACCACAAACATAGATACCAACTCCCATTAAAATCCCTCCTATTAAATTTCTAAAATATTTTTTAGTTTTTATTAATAAAAAAATAAATATTAAAATAAATATTTACCTCCTATAAATTATTGGTAAAAATTCTAACTTTATCATTCTAAAGTAGTTTAATAAAGTTGTTGATATTGTACTTGCTGATATAAAGGACAAAATAATTTTTATCATTGTAAAGTTTTTAATTTCCATTTGGTCTCTGACTATTGAGGGTAAATAAACGTTGCATTTCTGAATTGCAAATCCAAAAAAGAAACCTACAAATATTTCACCAACTATTAAATTTCTCTTACTTGTATTCATTTTAAAATTATTAACTTTGGTTAAATTTCCAATTTTATTTAAAACAATTTTTAAATATATTAAAAAAACTTGAACACATAGCTATAAAATAAAAATAAATTACTAAATATTTAAATCACCAATAAAATTTCTTATTTTATTTTATTGTAAAAATGTCTTAGATAATAGGGGGAAATTTTATATTTTAAAAAAAAAATATATAATAGATGAATTTTTTATTTAATTTTAAATAATTTTAATTTTATACATTAATAAAATGATTTTATTTGTTTGTTTATTTTTTCAATATTTTATGTTATTTTTAATATTTTTTTTGATTTATGTTTTATAATTTTTTTTTTTTTTTATTTTTTAATTTATATAATTAAAACAAATTAAATTTAATCCCAAGAACTATTTTGTTGATTCCATTGTTGTGGTGGTTGTTGTGGTTGTTGTTGTGGTGGTTGTTGTGGGCCATTGCCCCATCTGTTGTTAAATTGTTGTTGTGGTGGTTGTTGATTCCATTGTTGTTGTTGTGGTTGTTGTTGTGGTGGTGGTTGTTGTTGTTGTTGTTGTGGACCATTACCCCATCTATTATTACATTGATGTGGTGGCTGGTCATATAGTTGGGGGGGCATTCCATAATGTTGCTGTGGTGGTTGATTATATTGTTGGTTATTAAATTGTCGTTGTGGTGGTCGGTTATATTGTGGCCCCCGTGGTCTTCTATCATATGGTAGGTTATATTGAGATGAAGGTGGTTGGTTATATTGTGATTGTTGTGGTGGCTGATTGTATTGTGGTTGTTGTGGTGGTTGATCCCAACCTCTTTGTGGTGGTTGATTATATGAAGGTCTTTGTGGTGGTTGATTATATGGTTGTGAACCACCGTAAACTGATTGTGGTGGTTGGTTGTATTGTGGTGGATTGTAAGGTTGTTGTGGTGGTCTTGGTTGATTGTATGATGATTGAGATGATGGTTGGTTGTATGATGATGGAGGTGGTCTTGGTTGATTGTATGATGATTGACCACTTGAGTTTGATGAACGTGATGGTAATCTTTGTTGTTGTTGGGTTGATTGTGGTTGCTGTTGTTGTTGTTGGTTGGCACTACCACTACTACTTGATGAGGAAGATGATGTTGATGAAGATGATGATTGTTGTAATAATTGGCCATAATTTCTCTTAAAATATTTGATTAGTTCAAAATAACTTGGATATAGTTTTTTTCTTAAAATAAAACCATCAGCTTTAACAAGAATAGGTTCGTGTCTTGGAGTTGAACTTGGAACATGGTATAAGGTAAGGAATCCTGGATGTTCATAGTCATAACCAAAGTAGTAAGGAATTGTTTTTGGATGCTTAGCTTTTTCGGCTCTAATTATATCATCGATATCGGAACGGTTACCATCCTTCCAGTGAGCAGCATTTGATTTAACTTCATTTAAATTATTAATTAAGTACTCTACATGTCTTGCTAAAATTTCATCCAAACTATCATATTTGGTATCACCCATATAAAATGATTTACCCAAACTAACAGCATTTGGTTTGTCGGCTTCTTTGATATCGTGGTGAAGATAAATACTTTCACCAAATTTAAAAGTGGCTGTGATATGATCGAAACCCTTACTTGAGGGACGTAAAATAACCTCGCCAATTGGTTTATCGGAAAGATAGTTTTCAGCCTCGATACAAGAGAAATCGTGCCATAATGGATGTATAACACTTCTCTTTGGTCTTTTTTCTCTTCTTACAACCTTTTTCTTTTGTGGCTCTGGTGGTGCGGTTTCTTCTAAACGAAGGTATTGATTTTGACCATTTTCTTTAAGTTCACGGAATAAGGTTTCCTCCCAACGACTAGCTGAAAGATCAGATGGTTTGCAACTAAGGGATACAGAAAAATTACCTTTATCTATAGACATTACACGGCAATTAATTGTTATGCCTCTACCCAATGACTTGACTGAACCATCATCACTAAGGGCATCTGATGGAATTGAACCTTCTAAACCATTATCTAATCTACACTTTACTTGGCCATCAAAAACACGAATGGTAGTGACGGTGACCAATGTACCCCTTCTCAATGAGCTTTCGGTTTCACCAGTAAGCCATTCAAAGATTTGTTCCGGTGTTGGTTCTTCATACGAGTGTCTAATATCTGCAAATGGATGGGTTAACTCTTTCTTTATGAAATGTAATAATTTACGTGCTGGATGGCCATCATGAGATTCGAGAATATCTGCAAATGCATCTAAATCCAAACGGTCTAATTTCTTTGGTTTCTTCATAATATCCTCAATGTAAGATTGTAAATAACGATCATCTAATGGTTTATCTAAAGCCTCAGCAGCAATTCTGTATGAGATTGGATAATTATCTGGATGAATTCTTGTGTCATCTAAAAGATCAGACTTATACTCGGCTGTATATCTTTCACGGATTTGAATAAAACCAATACAATTCTTATATACAATATCTTGATTTAAAAGTTTACCTAAAATTGCTCTTGATGTTATATAACCACCACGACGGAAAATATTATTTAAAATCATTTGAGATTTTCTGCTACCCAAACCACTTACAAATTGAAGAGTTGATGAAGTGAAACGGCATTGAATCATACGGTTAATATCGACACCAACAGCATTTACCACATTAATAAAGCAACGATGTAATAATTTAAGAAGATAATCTTTGCCAATCATATCCTGTAATGGATGAAGCTTGAGGAATAAAATTTCGTTGTGATCTGTACATAATGAAGAGTATTCAGTGAGTGGATCCAATGCACAACGACCAACTGCAATTGCATGTCTGAGAATTGGTGGATATTCTTTGAACTCTTCTTCCATTCTACTTGAGGTTTGTAAACTTAAACCAATTTCTGAGTTGTAATAATTTAATAAACATGATTTTCTGATTATACGACGTTCACCACTGCACCATCTTTCCAAGTGAATTTTAACCTCTTCAAAAAGACGCTTGGAGTCCATTTCGGAGGCACTAACGATAACAAGACGTGGTTGATGATCCAAACAAATATCTTCTAATTTCTTTATATCCTTTTCTTTTTTTTCTTTTAATGATTCACCTAAACGGTCACAAATAAAATCTAATTTGACGTGGGTAACTACTTCACCATCAGAGTTTAATACTGCACCCATGGTTGGAATCTTTTCAGCACCCCAGCATAATGAAAGAATTTTGAATGGAACTGGATTACCATCTCTATCATATTCGACCTCATCTTCATCATAATCATCATCTTGACTATTACTGTAACCATTATTATTACGTGAACCGCCAAAAAGATAACGTGAATTGGAATGACCTGTATTTGCATTTGATGTTAATGGTTTCCATGGAGCAACACGAATCTTTTCTTCCAATTTTTTAGCGCATTCAAAAGCAACACGATTTGATGCCTCTGTTAATAATTTATTTCTTAACTCTTTTTCTAAAACTGGATAAAGGAATTTGGTTAATGCTTCACGAATAATGAGTTTTCTTTGTTCATTCCATTGTTGGGTGATTGATGATGTGCCATCGCTGAGATATAATGCCTCCATTTCTGGTATAATAACACTATTATGGGTCTTTTCAGAAATTGCCATTGTTGATTTAATGAAACCTTCTTTTTCTGCTTTGAGGATTAATAAATATTGACTATCATCAAAAAGATGGGCTGGTTTTTCTTGAATTGATTTAACTGTAAAATAAGGATGGAATACATCAATCTCTTTGAAACCTTTAATAGTTGGTGCGGTAGTAATGTGGGCATACTTTCTATAAATCATTCTAACTGAATAACGGACATGTGGATCGTAACCAATCTCTTGAGCCATCATATAACGGGTAGCCTGTAATACACGGTCCTTTGAATCGGCCTCAATGCAAATATGACCCAAAGCGGATGATGATGGATCGGTAGCAATATCTTTTGGTTTATTTGTGGTGTAGTTATCCATAAGATTTTGACCAAATTCTCTAGCGCTCATACCAAAGTTTGAAAGGAATTTAGATAAACCAGCCTTTGTGTAAATTGTATAGAGATCTCTTTTAATGGCCTTCTTTTGTTTTGGTTCACCATTTGCATTTGTATTATTATTTGGAGAAAGGAAATCATATCCATCACCTAAAGACCCATTAATATTTTTTTCGATAGCATTGAGCATTTGGAAAAGATCGTAGAGATCGGATATACTTTCTTCTGATCTGCCCTCTTTGAGTACAGCTTCATATGACTCAATTGTTTTATTGTTTTTACCCATAGCCTCTAAATTCTTTTTATTTACTTTAATGTGAGCCCATTTTTCGTCTAAATCAAAGATATTCCAAAGATCTTGAAGTGTGAAATATGGTTCATAAATATCCTTTTCATAAGTATAGATGAATGGTATTTCAAGCTGGTATTGTTGAATAAATTTCAAAATTTGTGCGATTGCTTCGACTGCTTTTTCGCTATTAGTGTTGCTACCTTCAAATGCTGCTTCATAAATCCATTGGGCCTCTTCTAAAGTCTCCTCCTCACCTGCATATTGAGAACCCTTTCTACGTTGAAGTCTTTCGGGTTGGTTCTTATTACGAATCTCTTCATCGGCATCTGTAAAGTGCTTTTCTTCTAAAAGTGATGGTTCATATTGTTCTCTGATCATAGCTAATTTATCTTTAACTTTATCCTCCTCCATCATCATTTGATTATCTTCCTCATCCTCATAGCCCATGTCATCTTCTTCATCTTCATAACCAAAAATATCGCCGATCATACTTGAAGATCTTTCGATACCATTTTTCTTACTGCCTACAACAAAACCACCCATACCATCTGCTTCACCAATGTCCTCTTCATCTGAATCTTTATTTTAAAAAATAAATAAAAAAATCATTAGTATAATTTAAATAACTATTAAAAGCATTATAATATTGTTACATACCTGACTCTTTTAGTCTTTTTAAACGTGATAACTTTTTATTCTTTTCAGCTTTTCTCCTTTGTTTCTCCTCACGCTTCTTTCTTCTCTCCTCTCTTCTTTTCAAAACTGTTTCTTCATCCTCTTCTATCTCTTCACTGCCACTTTCTTCATCATTCGAACCTATATCGCTATAATTTGAACCTTCACCCTCTGAGCCCTCGCCTTCAATTCTTTTCCTTCTCTTTTCTTTTCTTTTTTTTCTATCGTCCTCACTATCTTCTTCCCCTACTACAAAATCATCATATTGATATTGATTTGGTTCGTTTTCATCTTCATCACTACTATCAACAAATTTCTCTTTATCACTGCCAGCATTTTCATCTTCTTCTGCTTCTTCCTCTGTGTTCACATTTTTATTTATTGACTTTTTAAACTTTTGCTTTGGGTGAATTTTTGGTTCTTCATTTTCCTCAATTTCGTTTTCATCATCGCTAAATTCTAAAATTAATAAAAAAAAAAAAATAAAAAAAAAAGAAAATTAGCATTTGATATTTATTTATTATTAATAAATTAAAAACCATTATACTACACATACTTGAACTCATTTTTTATTCGATTTTATAAAATAAAATAAATAATAAAATCAATAATTAAATTGATTTTGCTAATTTGTTATTATGTATTAATTAACTATAATACTAATATCTACTAATTGGAATTAGATAATAGTATTAATTATTTATTTATTTAATTAAAATATACGCAAATAAATAGGGTACTCGATATAGATAGTTGTACCTTAAGCTCTATTTTTTGTATATAATAAAGAAAAATAACGATACAAACAATTAATTAACTATAATTATTTATAAAATAAAAAAATAAAAATAATAAAAAAAAATTAAAAAAAAATTAAAAATAATTTAAAAAAAATGAAAAAAAAATGAAAAAAATTAAAAAAAAAAAAAATTCACCTTTCAATTTTAAAAATAAAAAAATATATAAAAAAACTTGCTATGGTATTATTATGCGAACCAAATAATTATCTTTATTATTAACGTGCAGATAAACTTATTCAACCCCCACTTTTCTTTTTTAGATAATTCTATTTCTTTTTTTTGATTGATTTTTTTTTTTTTTTTTTTAATTCATAATTTCAATTTCTCATTTATTTTTGTATTTCATTTAAAATTTTGTTTTAATCAGTTATCAAACCAAAATTGATTTTTATTTGTTTTTATAAAAACAAAAAAAAAAAAAAAATTACCAAAAAAAAAAAAAAAAAAAAAAAAATACCCAATAATATGAAAAATCGTATTTTGAAAAAAAAATTATAAAATAAATTTATTCATTGAACCATCTCCAAAACTAAATATATAATTGAACAACTAATTAATTAAATAAAAATGTATAATAGGATTGGTTCCAATATCAAAGGAAAAAATAAGTTATTTAAAAAATTTCATTATTAGAACTTCGACAATCACCCTATAAAAAATACCAAAATAATTTTAAAAAAAAAATAATTTTAAAATAATTTTTTTTTTTTTTAAATTTTTTGAAATTTTTTTTTTTATTATAATAACAAAAACTATTTTTTTTAAAATTTTTTTATTATTATTTATTTTTTAATTATTATACTATTATATTATTATATTATATATTCCATTCATTTCAGCCATTTAGTTTATTAAATAATATTTTTAAAGGTAAGGGAAAGCAAAAAAAAAAAATTGTAGAATATAAAAACATTATTTTTTTATTTTTTTTTCAAATACAGCAAACAAGTTTTTATTTTTAGACCAAAATCAATAGCGATTGCCAATTGAAATTTTTATAATATACATAATTTTATCATATGGTTTATTTCATTTTTGTTTAGCAATAATTATTTATTATTATAGTTGGTTTGATGTTTAATAATAGGTTTTAAATATGTCTTTTATAATATAAAATAATAATAGTAATACTATCCCCATAATCAAAGATACAACTTAGTATTTTATATTTAATCAAAATAATAATGGTTTAAATTTAGTAAATAGTACACAGATAAATAAAACCTATCTTTTTATTATTCTATCTTATAGTGAAATTTATAATAATTTGCGATAATATATGTTTTATAACATCAATATCAATTTCAACTTAATATAATATTATTTGTTTAATAACTATTTTATTTTTATTCCAACCACACATATTTATGCATAACACAATATAACACTGCATTACCATAATTTTTTTAACAATTCTTTTTATGGTGATACCAATTTTTTAAAAAATAATAGTAAATATTATTTTTTAATTAATTTTAATTTTAATTTTAATTTTAATTTTAATTTTGTTTTATTTTATTTTATTTAATTTTTTGTATTAAAAAAAATAATTATTTATTAAATAATTTAATAAATAATATTTATTAAAAAAAAAAATTTTATCTCTTTGTTATTTTTATTATATTTAATTTTTTTTTTTATTAAATTTTATTTTAATTTAATTTTTTTTAATTTTTTTTTTATTAATATTTTAATTTATATATTTATTTTTTTAAATAAAGATAAACTTTAAAATATTTGTGCTGTGTATAAATAATTTATTTAAATAAATACTAATAATAACCATTAAAAAAAATAATAATAATAGTAATAATATAATACAAAGAAAGGTAGGGCTATTTTTTATAGTCTTCACAAAACAAACCTTTATTTTTTTATAAATATTCAAATAATAATTTTTATTAAAATAATATTTTTTTTATATATTTTATATATTTTATTATTTTATTATTTTATTATTTTATACTAATACAATGTTTTTTTTTGCACAATTATTTTAGTATTTTTAAAGAATATAGCAAATAAATTATTAAAAAAAAATGAACAGTAATAGTAGATCTAAACAAGAAAGCAGACAATCACAATATAAAAAGAGTATTGACGCAGATGAATCACGTAGAAAGAGAGAAGAAGCTTCACTTAGTATTAGAAAGAATAAACGTGAGGAAAGTTTATTGAAGAAAAGAAATCAACTTACTTCATCTGGTCCAGTTAAAGTTGAATCATCAATCAATCAAAAAGTAGGTAGCTTTGCTTAAAAACTATAATATTATCCGTTTAATTATTAATAACAATTTTTATTTATCAGTTAGAACAACTTCCAACTTTAGTCCAAGAAATTAATTCTGACAATCCAGAGCTTATCTTAAAAGCAACTACAGCATTCAGAAAATTGCTTTCAATTGAAAAATCTCCACCAATTGAAGAAGTTATTAGAACTGGTATTGTACCAAGATTAGTTAAATTTTTATATACCCAAGATTTCCCACATCTTCAAGTAAGTAAAATATAGTTCTGAATAGTAATCACAATATAATATACTAATATTTGTCTTTTTTTTTTTTTTTTTTTTAGTTTGAAGCTGCATGGGCTTTAACAAATATTGCATCTGGTACACCAGAACAAACTAGAGTTGTTATTGATAACGGAGCTATTCAAGTTTTTGTTTTATTATTAAATTCACCACATGATGATGTTAAAGAACAAGCAGTATGGGCTTTGGGTAATATTGCAGGTGATTCACATTATTGCAGAGATTTAGTATTAAACCACAATGCACTTCCACCACTTTTACAACTTTTACAAAACTTAAATACTATTAAAGTTAGTATGGTTAGAAATGCTACATGGACTTTAAGTAACTTTTGCAGAGGCAAACCACAACCACCATTTGACATTGTTCGTGCAGCACTTCCAGTTTTAGCTAAATTAATTTACTACCAAGATGAAGAAGTTTTAATTGACGCTTGTTGGGCTCTCTCATATCTTTCAGATGGTTCAAATGAAAGAATTCAAGAAGTTATTGATGCTAAAGTTTGTCGTAAAATGGTAGAGCTTTTAGGTCACCCAGCCATCGCTGTTCAAACCCCAGCTCTTCGTACAATTGGTAATATCGTTACTGGTGATGATAATCAAACTCAAGTTGTTTTAACCTGTAATGCTCTTTCACATCTCCTTGTTCTTCTTCAAAGCCCAAAGAGAGCCATCAGAAAAGAAGCTTGTTGGACCATTAGTAATATTACTGCTGGTGACAAAAACCAAATCCAACAAGTTATCGATGCCAATATTATTCCAACTTTAGTTTTCCTCTTATTAAATGCCGAGTTTGAAATCCAAAAAGAAGCTGCTTGGGCCATCTCTAACGCCACTTCATGCGGTACCCCACAACAAATTCATTACCTCGTCAGTCAAGGCTGTGTTAAACCATTATGCGATTTATTAAGAGTTTCAGATCCACGTATTATAAATGTTGCCTTAGAAGGTATTGAAAATATTTTAGCTGCTGGTAAAAAGGAAGCTGATCAAACTGGTGTCAATCCATTCATTAAGATTGTTGTAGATGCTGATGGTGATAATAAAATCTATGAATTACAAAACCATACAAATAAAGACACCTATGAAAAGGTCAATCGTATCATTTCCTCATACTTTGATGAAGAAGATGATCTTGGAGATATGTCAACTGATAATGGTCAAACAATTTCATTTGCTGGCTCAGAAAATAGAAATTACAATTTTTAAAATATATAATCAAACAAATAATAATAATAACCAAATAATAATATGAAATAATAGCAATAATATAAATAATAGTTTGAATCATAACACCAAAAAAAAAAAAAAAAAAAAAAATAGAAAATGACAATAATTGCTCAATCTGACTCTTACTATAACCTTACTTATCACTACTACTACTACTACGCCACTCACATATAAATACATTCACTCACACATATATAATAGTCACCACATCCACATTTTTCACTCACAACAAATATAATCTTTCTCTTTTTCGTTCTATCAACATATTTATTTAACTTATAAATATGACATTCAACACACATTTTTTTTTTTTTCAATCAAAAAAAATTCAAAAAAAAAAAGATCTCACACGTCCGATTCTAATATATTAAATAAACATAATATATTTTTTTAAAATATAAACATAAATATACCTTGTCTCATTTCATTTACTCATTATTGTGCGGTTTTTTAATAACATGACTTCATATAATTTTAAATGTACATTTTTTTTTTACTTTAACTTTACTTTTACTTAACTACTCTTACTTTATATTTAACCCTTTTTATTTAAAGCTTTAGATTAATTTTTTTTTAGGATACTTTTAAATTTACTAACATTTTTTCTTTTTATAATCCAAAATAAATTAAAATGGTTTCATTAGTTTGAAATCATAAATAAAAAATAAAACTCTAAAATAAAACTTAATAAATTTATAAAATAATGTTTTATTTAATTTTTATATTTTATTTCTGGTGTTGTGTCTTTTAATATTATTTTTAATGATTGGATTTTGAAGTTGTTGAATTGTAATTAGATGGTGACCAAATTCATTATCTATCCAATTCTTCAATTAAACATAACTAAACTCAAATCCTGTTTGTGTTAGTTGGTTTTAGATTTAATCTTTGAATAAATCTAACGAGCTTTAAAAAAAGTGAATGATTAAAGTATGATGAAAGTGTTTTTTTGTTGATATCTGAAAATTTTTGATTAATAAGCGATAATAGGTGTTCATTTTAAATTAATTGGTTATTTTGATCTTGATACAGATGTTTGGAAGAACCTGGTTCCTAATAATGAGTCTTTTGATTGGAGTGCTATTGATTTCTTTTAAAGAACATTTATATGTTATTTTGGTTAAATTCTCTGTGTTCTGCATTTAATGATTCCGTTGAAAGTGAATGGTTGTGGCCAATCATAGTTCTAGTTTTGATGATTGAGTGAATGGCATTCTATTTTAATGCCCTTTTTATTATATATTTTTTGAATCAATGTTTTTATGCACCATATGATGCTTCATCATGGCCAATATTTGATTTAGCCTAGCCAGGTAGAATTTGTTTATATATACAATACTATTGAGTGTGTTGATGTTCCAAAAGTTTTCTCATAATTAATTGGGTTTGGAAATTAATTTTGATAAACAACCACTTTAAGCCAATGGTTGAGAAATCATCGCTTTGCCTCAGAATAATTGATTTTCTTTTGAATTTAGTTATTGAATTTATAATTGATATTTTTTTACAAAAAAAAAAAATTTATAAAAATGAAATACCTTCGGTTTAAATTAAAAAAAAAAAAAAAAAAATGATGTAATTTCTGGTTTTGATAAACAAATATACCTTTTATTCATATTGTTTAAACAGGATCTGAGTTTGAAAATAAAAAAAGATCTGTGAATGAAATTAAAAAAAACTGAAATGAAAAAGAATAAAATAAATTGAAATAAAAAATAAATTAAAGATTACCCAAAAAAAGGGAATTAATAGAAAATAATACTTAAAATTTTAATAAAAGAATCTCCATAATTTAATGAGTTTATAAAATAATATTTACAATTTATTTAATTTATTTAATTTGATAAAATATTTTATACCATTGTTACAAGCTAAAGAAAAAAAAAAAGTATTAGTAAATTGAATTTTTATGATAAAAAAAAAAATAAATAAAAAACTTACCTCTTCACCAGCAGTTGGATGGATAGCACAGGTGTTGTCTAAATCTGATTTGGTAGCACCCATTTTAACAGCTACAGCAAAGCCTTGAATAATTTCATCGCTGCTATCACCAATGATATGAATACCAACAACTTTTTCATTTTCACCTTGACAAACTAATTTCATACTGGTTTTGACTTTATGGGATTGAACAGAATAAAACATATTTACAAAAGTTGAGTTATAGCATTTAATATTTTCTTTACCATATTTCTCGACTGCTTCTTTTTCGGTTAAACCAACAGTGCCAATTGGTGGATGTGAGAAAATGACGGTTGCAACATTTTCATATTCGAATTTCAAACCATCTTTGGCATTGAAGAGACGTTCACTAAGACGACGACCTGCAGCAATGGCTACTGGGGTTAAGAGTAATTTACCACAAACATCACCTACAGCATAAACACCTGGAGCAGTTGTATTTTGGAATTCATCAACCTTGATAAAATTGTTTTTGTCTACTTGAATACCTGCTTTATCTAAACCAATATCAAGAGAGTTTGGATCTCTACCAATAGCCCAGATAACACATTCAACTGGTGGTAACTTGACATTGTTGTTTGTGGTAGCAACGATTTTTCCATCGGCATTCTTTTCTAATGAAATAATAGATGAGTTTTTGACAAATTTAACGCCATCATTTTCCATTTGAGTGAGTAAAGTATGATGTAACATGTCGTCAAAGGTACGTAAAAATTGTTCGTTACGGATAGCCATGGTAGTTTCAGAGCCTAATGTATGTAAAACACCAGCTAATTCAACTGCAATATAACCGGCACCGACAACTAAAGTTGATTTTGGTAAATCTTCCAATTCAAAGAAACCATCAGAGGTTATACCCAACTCTTTACCTGGAACATCTGGGACGTTTGGTTTTCCACCAGTTGCGATTAAAATATGATCGGCTGTATACTTTTCACCACCGCTTACTTGAATTTCTTTTGGTCCTACGAATTTACCATAACCACTGAGTTTGACAATACCATCTTTAGCTAAATTGTTATCATAAATACCATTTAAACGTTTAATATAATCATCTCTTGCTTTTTTAATAATTGGCCATTCAAACTTAACTTCACCGCCAAATTTAAAACCATATGATGGTGATGCATTAATCATTTCTTTAATAAATGCTGTATTCCACATAACTTTTTTTGGTACACATCCAACATTGACACATGTACCACCTGTACGTGTTACTTCGACAACACCAATACGATCACCTTTACCTCTGGCATTTAAATGTTTTGCTGCTCTTCTTGCTGATGCAATACCACCTGAACCTGCACCTAAAACTAAATAAGTAAAGTGATTACTATTGCTCACTTTGTAAAAAATAATTAGTTTACAATAACACGATATTTATAATTGTAATTGTTTTATTATTCACATACTCTTTTTAAACTAATGATTTTGATTATTGAACAAATAAAATTTAAATTAAAAAAAAAAAAAACCTTTTTTTTATAAATTTTATTTTTAAAAAAAAAAATTAAAAAATAAAATAAAATTAATCAAAAAAAAAAAAAAAAAAAAATATTATGGGAATTATTTTTTTAAGAATCTATATTTCCTTCTAGAACTATTACAAATAAAAATTATTTATTTCATTGCTCATTTGTTTTAGTTTTTGTTTTTTTTTGTTTTTTTATTCCTTTAAAGTTTTTATTTAACTTAAATAAAAAATTACATTAGTGGATATAATCACAACAATTATAATAAAGTTGGCTGCATTATTATATTATATTCACATTTATTTTTAGAAATGTTGATTTTTAATCTAACCCCCACCTCCCAACCCAATAAAACAATTAACTTACCCACTTAAAAACTTAAAAATAAAAAGACTTAAATAAAAAAAAATTTTAAAATAAAAAAAAATTATTTTAAAAATATTAAAAAAATCAAAATTTTTTTTTTTGTTTTTTTTACACTTTAATTTATTTTACCTAACACCAAGATATATATATTTTTATATATATTTATATATTGTTTATTATTTAAATATATATATATATACATATTTTTTTTTTTGTTTTTTTTTTTATAATTAAAAAAAAAAAAAAATTTATAAATATACAAGAAAATGAAAGGAAATAAACCAGAAGCGTATGATCTATTTTTATATTTAGATTCATTAAGTATAGGTAGTTTACAATCCATTTTAAAATGTAATAATCCTACACACTATTATTTCGTAAGTATAAATAGCGCTATGTTCTTAATAGTTTTATTAAAAAGATATATATTAATAGTTTATAATCTTATTTTATTAAAGGAAAAACTTCTACCATTGATTAAATTAATAGATCATCTCAGTAATATGGATAAATCAATTTCAGAATTATTTTATGAAAGAATGCGATTTAAATCAGAACTGTTTGACTCAAGTAAAATTAAACATTATAGTGAAATTATTCAATTTATAAAGAAATATCAAGAGTATTTGCCTGTTGAAAAGAGAAAAACTATATTGGAGTTCTTTGATAAGCTAATTAAGCATTGGACTACTTACACAATTGACATAGATTCAAGTTTAATCGGATTGGCCCCAAACGATGGTACAGTATCCAAATTAGCACAGGATATAGAATTATTAAAAGTTAACAGCAGCAAAGAAATGGCCCAAATTATGAAGGAAGAAGATTTTATAAAAAATATGTTAAAGTGGAGCTCATTTGAAAATCCAATAGAGCTAATGAAGCAAATTAGACATTATTCATCATTATTTAGGGGTGTCGATAAATTAAAAAAGGGTGACATTATAGTTGTTCGTTTTACAACCCTTACTCAAGTATCCCCATCTTCATCATCTTCATCTTCAGGTAGTTCATCATCTTTAAATAATAGTAATGCTATACCTGTATCGGGTTCATTATCCTCGCTACCATTCATGGTAATTGCAAGTGGCTCACCAAGTATATTGGGAAATTCCAACTCATCAATTTCACCAAGTTCTTCGTCAACAGGCATTATTACAAGCAATTCAACATTTTCATCCATTCAAGCAAGATCTCTATTTTCAAAAACAAAAATTATACCAAATAGATTCTCATCATCCTACAAAAAATCAATTTCAAATATACCAATCATTACATTGGAAGAATACTATAAGAATTGCATAAGGTTACCACCACACATATCTCAACAAATCAACAGCAGTGGTATTGGAAGTGGCCCAGGCGGTGCATATAAAGACACAAGCCACGGTTCATTTGGAATCGGTAAAAACTTTCAACCAAAAGCTCAATTTGCAAGATTTAGTGGTGAAAAAGCGGGAAATTTCTTTTTATGTTACTTTTCATCTCAAGAAACTGAGGCAGTTGCAGTTGCACCTGAAAATATTTTAATTCTTAACAAGAGGCTCATAGAAAAGATTAAAGAGAACGATAAACTTTACCTCAGAAAACTTATTCATCAACCATCAGATGAATTCACTAGAGAATTAGTACTAAAGGGTAAAGAGAGTACAGTTGGTTACCTAAATCAGATCAATGTTGATTTAAAATTTGTTCAATTTGAATCATTAAATACACCAAATCTATTGGCTTTGAAAAAAATTAGGATCATGAAATCTAAAGTGCAATCTATCCTTTCAGAAAACTCCCATCCCCTGTACAGAGAATTAGATATACAAGTTAAAAACGAAATTAGTCAGTTCCTCACTCACATGAATGAGAGTCAAATGTTTATGCCAACCTACGGTAATACACTAAATGACTTGAATGAAAACCATTCACTATCTATGGCAAAAAGCAAAATGAATCAAATTTATGGTGAAATAGAAATGGCATTGGATAAATTCGAATTTGAAAAACTACAATACCTCAACGCTAATAGAAAAAATGAAATTACAGAATGGTGGTTAAAAACCATCGAATCCAAATGTTTAGATTTCTTAGAGAAAAGATATTTCAAACCTTCAGCCATTCCAGATAACTATATCGAACAAGCTCCCAACAACATATTTGATATCTTTGAAAACCTCAAGATTATCAAACTAGTACTTAGCCCAAGTGAAAATCAAAAACAGGTTCTTTTACAAATGATGGAAGAACAACAACAACAGGAAGTGATTGCTGCAACCAATAACATAAACAGCAATGGCCAAGGTTTAAGAAAAAGATCCAATACGCCTCAACTACAACAACCACAAAAAGAAACTTTAAACTTTTCACCAGTTGAGCTAATTGAACAACTAAAGAGCGAGATATACCCAATAATTGATGATTTTATTAAAAGAAGCCATGCTGTATTCTGTGATATTTTAAACGTCGATAACCTAAACGATAACAATTCAATTAAAGATCTATTAAATGAAAGAAAACCATCTATGAAATCAAATTTATTTTCTCAATTAGAAGATTTATTATCAGATTTAGAATATTTGGAAGAAATGAAGCGTTTAGAAGCCAACCCTGAGGCCACATCATTCCACATTGTTCCAATTAGTGGCTTAGTAATTGGCTTCTTTGCAAGAATCGAAAATGAATTAAAAACAATTATTGAACTATATAGTCCAGATGGTCAATATATTTTAAAACTAAATGGACCCATACCAAAACAACCACAAGAAATTGTTCAAGATAATTCATTTGTTGAATTATCATTAAATGATAATAATAATACAAAAGCAAACGCTTCAAATATAAAGAATTCTAATATTATAATAGGTCATCGTGTTGCTCAACATTCATATTCAGAATCAGATAGTCCATTAACTTTAACAATTAATAAGGTTGGTGCACAAAATAGACCCTCTTCACCAACTAATAATATTAATAATAACAACAACGCCAATAATAATAGTTCATTACCTACTATTGAAGAAAAATCAGCACTAATCGAATCAATTAAATCTACTGATCCAACTTTAGTCGAAGAAACTATAAAGAACTTAATGGTTGAAAATGATGACAATCTTAGCGATATTATTAACGAACTAGATAACGATGGATGGACACCACTTCATATAGCTTGCTCGTTGGGTAACACCGAAATCTGTTCATTATTATTAAACATCCCGGGCATCGACGTTTTCACCAAAAACAAAGAAGGAGGCACTGCTCTTCATTTCATGGTAAGACACAATTATAATGAAAAGAGAAAAGAAATAATAGAAAAGATTTTAGCAAAGGGTTTGGATATTAATGTTGGTAGCAAATTTGGTGAAACTCCGCTTCACTCTGCATCATTAAGAGGAAATGTCGAAACTGTAGCTTATTTGTTAGATAGAGGTGCAAATATTAATGCCACTACAACGTATGTATAAAATACTATTTTATCAAATATAAAAATCTATACAATAATACTAATATTTAATTAATTATTTAGAAATAATGAAACAAGTTTGCATTATGCTGTTACTAGAGAAAAGGTTGATGTTGTTGCAGTTTTACTTGGATATGGTGCTAAAATTGATGTTTCCTCCACTAAAAGAGGCACTCCGCTTCAAATCGCCAGAAACTTAAATAACTACGAAATTATTAATAAACTTGAAAGCCATAACAATATGATTAATGGTTAATAATCAACCACAAAAAAAACACTGTTTAAAATAGATCAAAAAATAAATTGTAATATTGCTTTTAATAAAAAACTAAAAATTAAAAATAAAAAAGAAAAAGAAAAAAGATTTTAATTTATAAAAAATCTATTTATTTCTAAATTTAATAAAAAGTTTATTAGTATACATTCTATCGGGTTTATTAGTTTTTTAGAATCCATATTGTATATTTACATTTATTTGTTGAAAAAGTAATAGGGTATGTATTTGAATTGTAGTGTTGTTGTATTGTTATATATTGTTATAATTATATTATTATAATTTTGATTGTTATTATTATTTAAGCATCACCTGATAATTTAACAAAGTGGCTGTTGATGGCAGAAAGGAAATTTGTATTTTTTTCAACACATTTATAAACACAAAGTTGTTCATCATCATCTAATGTTCTAATTCTGAAATTGGTGGCACAAGCTTGGAAACATTTATTAGTAAGATTGACGGATGTATCAACCATTTCTAACATTTGCATTTTATTTAATTCTTGAACGATTTTTTCTTCTTCTTTTTTGCTTAATTTTCTTTCCATTTTGATTTGTGATATGATGTATTTATAAATATATAAATTAATATGAATTTAAAAAACGAAAATGAAAAAAATTAAAAAAAAAATTTTGAAAAAAAAATTAAAAAAATAAAATAAAAAAAAAATAGTTTTATTTTTTAATAATATTTTTAATAGTAATTATTACATTTCGATTTATAATTAAAATTCATAATTATTACACCACCAAACCGATTTTGATCAAAATAAAAATAAAATGTCATTATAATAAATATTTGAAATATTAATAAAATTATTTATTTATTTTTTTTTTTTTTTTTTTTTTTTTTTAAATTTTAATATAAAAACCCAACGCAAATAAAGAAATATTGAAGCTGAAAAAAAAAAAAAGAGTGTGCATATATATATATTAACTATATATAGATATATATTGACATTATTTGCTTTTACCCAAGTAATTTAACGATTTGAGGTGGAATAATGAAGATTATATAACATGATTATATTGTTGAACATTTGCTTGTACGAATTTTTTTTTTTTTTTTTTTTTTTTTTTTTTTTTTTGATTAACTAAATTGAATTAATAAATTTAGAAGAAACTGAGATCAAGGTCATTGAAATATGGATGTTGTAAAGCCATTTTTGCTGAAATTCTCTTTGATGGTTCATATTGAAGCATTTGCTAAATAAACAAATAAAATAAAAAATTAGTATTGATAACTTTAAATAGTTATTTTTTTGTGATAGTTACAGAAATTAAATCAATAGCCAATGGATCAGATCTTGGGAAAATTTTAGGGAATGGTTGTCCTGGCCAATTTGGAAAAGTTGAAACATATTCTGGAAGTTTGGTGACACCTGGCCAAATGGTTTCATCAGGAGTACCAAGTACTCTAAAGATTCTAAAGATTTGATCAATTTCACAATCACCGCTGAATAATGGTTTTTTGTTTAACATTTCACCAAAAATACAGCCGACAGACCACATATCGACTGGAACTGAGTAGCTCTTTGAGCCCAATAAAACTTCTGGAGCACGATACCAAAGAGTAACAATTTCATGAGTATAAACACGGACTGGAATACTAACAGCACGGGCCAAACCGAAATCAGCAAGTTTGAGAGCACCTTGACGATCAATTAAAAGATTTTGTGGCTTCAAATCCCTATGGAGAATACGATGACTGTGACTGAAGGCTAAACCTTTTAATAATTGATAAAGATAACTCTTTATTAATGGTGGAGATAAAGTTGGTACAGAGTCCATATATTTCTTTAAATCTTGATCTAAATATTCAAATACTAAATAGAGTCTATTTTGACAATGAAGTACATCAAATAAACTATATTGATTTTAAAAAAAAGATGGTAATTAGTATTTATTTCTCTATCAATCTTTTTTTTTATTTATAAAAGAAATTTGATAATTACCTAACAACATTTGGATGTGGTACTTCCTTTAATAAAGAAATTTCACGAAGAGCAGTACTTGGTACACCATCGTCTTCTAATCTAATCTTTTTTAAAGCAACCATTCTACCAGTAGCTTTCTCTTTAGCTTTATAAACTTTACCATAGGTACCTTCACCTAATTTTTCTAATTTTTGATATCTTGAAAGACCACCATCACCTTCCATTTTATTCAATTTTATTTTATTTTATATATAATATGTATATGATTATTTAAGATTGATTTATTATTTATAATGTGATTTATATTTTATTTTAAATAAAATATTTTTTTTTTTTTTTTATGAAAGAGTTATTTTACAGAAAATTTAAATTATTTATATAAAAAATACGAGACAGATAGAAAAATATTTTACACAATTATTAATTTTATTAGTTAATATAAATTAATAGTTTTAAATATTTTTTATATATATTTGTTTAAATGTTTAATAAAAAAAAAAAAAAAAAGAGTTTGTTGTTGTTGTAGTATTTAAATTATTTAAATTTATGATAATTATCAAAAAACACAAGAAAAAAAAAAAAAAAATTTTAAATTTAAAAAATTAAAAAAAAAATATTTTAAAAATACAAAAAAAGTTTGGCGCACTTCTTTAAAAAACAAACAATTAAATTTTTAAAGATACCATTTATCAAATTTTATTATAATAATATTTGAACACTAAATTAATTTTATTTATTATTTTTATTTCAAATATTTTTGATATATACAATAAAACTATTTTAGTTATTTCTTATAAATAATAATCAACCCATAGTAATAATAATAATCAACTCATAATAATAAATAATAATATAATAATAAAAATAATAAAAATAATAAAAATCATAAATCACTTGGATATTTATTTATAAAAAAATCTATTTATAAATAAAATGATTTAATTAAATATCATTTATTTGTTTTGTTAAAATTAAATTCCCACTCAATATTTTAAATTTATTTAATTTATAATTAAATAGGATAAAATTAAAAATTAATATAAAAAAAAATAAATAAATAAAAAAATTTTAAACATTTTTTCTCTTTTTTTTTTTTTATTTTTTAATTTTTATATTTTTTAATATTTTTTTTAATTTTTTTTTTTTTTTATTATTAATTATTTCTCGTTTTCATAACTACTAAATTAAAATTTAAACTCTATTTCTTTTTTTTTTTTTTTTTTATTTATTTATTTTATAAAAAGCACACATTCACAAAAAAAAAGAAACAAGATACCTCAGGATTTTAATTTAATATAGGAATAATTTCAGAAATAATTAATTGCAGTAGTAATAGAAATAATATTATTACTTTAATAAAGATAAAAAATAGGTTTAGAATTAATAATCAATAATACAAAAGCAAACACAAGAACAAAGAAAAGTAGCAATAAAGCAATGTCAATTAATTTTCATTCCTCTATACAGTCTTTAAAAGAAAGAGGAATATTAAAGATATGTTTTTTACCAAAATCTCAGTTTGATAAATTTCAAGTTAGCGAATTTCATGGAGATGTAACACTGTCATACCAAATTTCTACTTTTCTTTTAAATGTAAGTTAAAATAATTGTTTATTAAAAGTTTATTAATAACATTATATACTAATTTTAATTTTTTTTTTTTTTTTTCTTAAAGTATAAACCATTTTTTACACCACATTTGTTAACAGAGTTAAGAAGTTTGTCAAGCAGCAATCAAATTTTAAGTGATTTTTTTAAATTGTTTGAAATCCAAACATTTATTTCAACAGAGGAGGTTCAAGAATATAGCACTAAAAGTCGTGCTGATGTTATCGAAGCAATGATTTCTGAGTTATCACAGTCTAGCGATCCAGATGCACAGTTGTTATTAAAGTCTATTATTGGATTTTTAATTGGGTGGGGTGAAAGAGATTTCAATTTAAAGTATCCTCATATTATTGAAGAAGGAATTTTAAAGAAACCTAAATCAAATGAAAAACCAAAAGCCATTGTAACCTATGTTGTTTCTCCTTCTAAAAAAACCAACTCCTCATCACCATCCTATCAACAATATAATGATGTGGTTCAGAATTATCAAAACCATATGCATTATCAAACCCAAAGTAACTGCGCTCAACAAAAACAACAAGTATACTCAGAACCTCAAAAAACTAGACAAACCTCAAAACAATTCCAACAACAACAACAAACCCATCAATCTAGTCCAACACCTACTTTTATTCCACTTTTAACACCATATTCAATAGAATCAAGCAAAATTGAATTTGAAAAGTCTAGAGAAGAAGTAAATATGTATGATAGTTTTAGTCCTGTAAGAAAGTCGTGTTCTAAAAAAGAATCAAAAAAAGATCTTGTGCCATATTTTGGAGATATTAATTATAGCAATAATAATAATAATAATAATAATAATAACACCAATAATGGCCCAAGTCACAATAATTTTAATAATAATTATTATGGCAACTACAATAACTCCAACAATTCAAAAATTACAAATTTATTAAGTTCAACTACCTTAAGTAGTGGATATTCTTCAAATAATCACCTATTAGAGGAAGAAAATACCCTTTTATCACCATACAGCGTAGAGTTAGCTTTAAATGCTCAACAAAGATCAAAGATAAATTAAGTACCATGTATATAAAACCAACAAATAGTATATGTAAATAGTCAAAACAAAAAAAAAAATTGGTTTCAAATAGTCCATAGTTTATTTTCAATAGCAATGATTTTAATAAGATAAAATCATAAAACAAAAAAAAAAAAGAAAAGAAATTAGATTTTCTTTTTTTTTCTTTTTTTTTTTTTTTAATCTTTCTTTTTTTATATTTATATTTTCTTTTTTTTTTTTTAAATAAAAATAAAGCGAATCATTCTATTCGTTTTTTTCTCATTTTTGAAAAATGATAAATAATTTCTTTTGTATTGCTTTTTTATATTTATTAAAATCAATCCTTTCATTTAACGAAAAAAATGACCATACAATTTTAAATAAATCATAAAAATAAAAAAAAAATAATAAGATTC